CTGATGCAGAGACCTGGAAGTCACCTTGTTCAGGAATTATAAGGAAAGGGAGTAAAATCAAACATGAGCTTTAGGTTTTTCTGTTACCATGGCGGCGCCCTGTATGACTGTGGCTGCTTCGGCTCTTGGTAACACAGACAATTTGTTGGTTAGGTCAATATTTTCTGTTGCAACATCATCTGGACACCATAAATTCGGAGACACGGACACGGACCAGAGCTCTATAAAGCTCTGGTCTGCTACGCTAGTTGGATCAGTTAGATCAAGCTACATACACAGCAGCAGAATCTTCCAACAACCCAGGTCCATGGAGACACCGGAGGAGGCTTGAGAGAAAACAAAAGCATCGGTGTTATGTTGGACTTACAGATAAGCTAGAAGCTAACCTTTTCCGATTGCAGCTCCCCTCCATCTTGCTTGCTAACATACGCTCCTTTGAAAGCAAACTGGACAACCTGAAGCTGGATTTAACCCCAAAAAGGGAAACAACAAACTGCTGCATTCTTATTTTCTGTGAGACATTAAACTCATCTGTCCCTGATAACGCCATCGGCCTAGATGGGCTAACATGAGTCATGCTCTCGCTGGTGTTTGCATTTACATTAACAGAAGGTGTAACACCACCACCCTGGTCTCCAGTCATTGCTCTGTGGACATTAAGTTCATAATTGTGGGTTGCAGACCCTTCTACCTGCCCAGGGAATTCACCACTGAAATCATTGTTGCTGTCTACACCCCTCGCCCACAACCCTTGCACTAACACCTAAAAGTTTTGAGTACTCTCTTTATTGTGTTTTTATTGTTGCTGGAGACTTTAACCAGGATAACATGAATAATGTTTTTCCAAGAAGGTCTTCAGACGAGCTCCCTGCCCCATCTCAACTCTTCAGATCATCTTTCGGTTATGCTCATCCCAGCATACCAGCCCCGGCTCACCAAAGAAAAGCCTGTGGTGAAGAAGGAGCCTGTGGTGTCCTGAGGGAGCTATGTCTGCACTGCAGGACTGTTTTGAGTGCACAGACTGGGGCATGTTCAGAAAGGCCTCTACACACAACCAACACAGTATGTGGCATCTGTGTCAGACTACATCCAGAGATGTACGGAGAAGGTTACTCCAACACAGACAATACTCATGGGCCAACCAGAAACCTGGGATGACTGAGGAGGTGTATTCAGTACTCAGGTGTATTCAGAGAGAGTGAAAAGCTGCCTTCAAATCTGGTGATGCGGCCGTACTCAGATCAGCGAGGGCCAATCTAAACCATACCATCAGGACAGCAAAACATGCTATCCAAGGTTTCTTTCATGATCCCAGCAACACCACACAACTATGGCAGGGCATCCAGTCTACCATCAGATTGCTCACCACCAATAACACTCCCACCAAGACCGTCTGAAAATGCTAGGTTATATATTATTATCAATATATTATTATTGTACATTTATGTATTTGTAGGCACACTTGTGATTTTTCTCTTTGTTTTGTTTTTCTGTTTGCTCCGGCAGCCAAGCGATGTTTCATTACTAATTTCAATGTTGTGTCTTTGTGCAACGACAATTAAATGAGTCTAAGGTGTGAGATAAAACTGGTCTCTAAAGCAGTTTTGTCGACTTCCTCAATGAATAATTGAAAAGTACCAATTCCCTTTGATTCATGTTACTAATTATAAGAGCTCTTTTCTAGTAATTCATCAATTTTTAATCTAATAATATGTGAAAATGTGTAAAATGCAAAAGAAAGAAAGAAAGAAAGGGAAGGAAAGGAAGACGGTCAACTTCATTATCAACACTGCTGCGAGTTTATTGAACAAAAGTTATGCCACAACTGAAATATCCACATCAACTGGTATTTTAATACCATGCTGATAGGCAAGACTCTAAAGCCTTCAGAACTGTAACTTCCCCCACTGATCACACCAAGCTGAAAAAAATACTAAACCAGTGAAAGAAGAATGTGTTAAACTGTGAAAAAAGTTTAACACTGTAAAAAGTAAAGTTCAAATCTTCAGAAAACTCGTTATCCTTTCCACACATATGCAGCGGATGCTCACTCATGCGCACAAAGAGATTCAGTTTTCTTTAAGAAAGGATTAAAAGGAATTACAAATGGAAACAAAAACAGCAAAAAAGGAAGGAAAGAAAGGAGGGCTTTGGTGACAAAAAAACAGTGGCAGGGAAGAATGAGCAAATGTACCTATAAATGAAAGAAAGCAAGAATTAAACAAAGAAAGGAAGGAGAGAACAAAAGAGAATAAACATAGAATGGAGGAAGAAATGAATTGAATGGCAGAAAGAAAGAAAAATAAAGGGTTAAATGGAAGAAATGAAGGAAAACTGGTCAGAAGAAATAAAGTAAGAAAGAATAGAATAGAATGATAGAAGGAAGGAAGGAAGGAAGGAAGGAAGGAAGGGTTGAGTGAGGAATAAATGAAGCCCGGAAATATTTTTTTCATATCTAAATTCTGACTGGAAAAATAACTAAATTAAATTGAACTTCTTAATTTCTAAGGTACTATCCTCCAATCAGGACTGTACTTTGGTCAATGTCTTCCACTTGGGTAATCAATGTAACCTCAGAAGATGCAGGGCAAAAAGAGAAGAATACAAAAAATTGCCGTACATAGATTTTCATGAACAGTTGAAATCAGAAGTTTACATACACCTACTAAAGACACACACCTCTTTTTTCTCAGTGTCTGAGGTTAAATCAGAACCAACCATTTCTTGTTTTAGGTAAATTAGAATTGCCAACATTACAGCTATTTTGTAATGCAACAAAAATGAGAGAAACAATATGTCAGAAGTCCACATGTAGAATGATTAACATCTCCTTAAACAATGAGGGAAAGCCCAGATGATAGGAAACCCCAGATGCTTTGTTGTTTGACACAACAAAGCAGTGTGTTTTGAAGGAAATGTTAAAAGAATAAACCCAAGGTATCAGGAAGAGAATTGTGGAGCTGTAAAAGTCTGCTTCATCTGGGATGGTCTGGGAACAACAGATGCTTGAAGGTGCCATGTTCATCTGTTCAAACAATTATATTTAAGTATAGACAGGATGGGAAAGTGCAAATGGATCCCAGAACAAAAGCTAAAGACCTTGTGAAGATGCTGGCTTAAGCTCTGCAGTGAAACATGGCCTCTACCAACATGGGCTAAAACGCTACTTAGCAAGGAGGAAATCATTACGCCACAGCACACCTGAGTCAGATAAATGACTCCTTACTGGACCGTCGTGAAACTTGATGACGTAATTATTTTTTTTTTTTTACTCATCTGTGTGAAAGGTGATCATTGTGAGGGTGTTGATGTGGTCAGTTTAGTGTAAACCATTTGGTAAATGGTTGAATAAAAAACTGAAACAAAAATGTTTAAAATTTCTTTTAGAAAAAAAAAAAACATTTTATTTTGCCTGTTCATATTTCTACTTTTAATGACTTTGAGGTCAAAGACGTGGACACAAACAGCTGGTCAAGAACTGAATGCTGGAGCAGCAGAAGAGTGGAGCGAGCAGGAGGAGCACCGAGCGTCCCAAGAAAGAAAGAACTTTTCAGAATTCAGCGAACATTTATGACAGATTTTAAAACACAGATCGCCGTCTGATTATTGCTGCAGAGAGTCTGACGCCCTCACATTAGTCTCAATGAGAGCAATGGATGCTAGAAAGAATATAATGACAGTTTTTAAAACACACATCCACCACTGTTGTGACCCCCATTAAAACATTCTTTCAAAAGGATTTCAATTGTCTTTGTTGTCAGAATAATATTTAAAATAGTACTTTTTTCCTCTTGCTGTCACTCCTAACATTACAGTATTTATTTTCTTGATCCCTCTCTCCCAGTCTTCTTCTGTCTCTGTGGCAGGCAGTGCAGCAAGCCGACTGCAGGAGAGCGGGAAGGGGAAAGGGTCACGATGAAGAACAGGGTTAAAACTCAAACATACAGAAAAACATCATTTCAATCATTTATGAATTTTAAAAATATTTCTTAAATATTTATTCAATGTGTAGACAAAAAACATCCGTTTTCTTTTTTTTCTGGCAGAAAAGATGGGAGGTCCTGACAAACTAGCTAATTTCCCTAAAATGTAACATGAATATAAAATGAATTATGGAGATAAAACACGTTAGACGACAGGTCAAACCACTAACCTGGTTATATCAAACAGTTTGCCAGAAGAAATCCTAAAAAGCATTGAATTAAATTAAAATATACTTACTCCAGGACAGATGAGAGCTCCAGCGAGAAACAAGATGGCGATGAAATATTCTGAAAGTGTTTTGAAGAGTGAACCATGTGACCACACTGTGATGCCTGCCTCACAGCTGCATCTCATTTTCTTAAGTTTAAAGAATGTATCATTTCTGTTTTTGAAGTTGAAGTTCATGTAACATTTTATTAAGTTGAATTCAATAATGTGTACAGTTAACTTGATTATGTCAGTCCAGCTGACTAAAACCTAGTATTATTTGTTACAGTGTGTAAACGTCTGAAGTCGAAGAAAGTTACAAGATATCTCCCCTCCCCCACCCCTCCCCCCAAAAAATATTCTAAGCTCTAAGCGTTCTGGTGTTGAGTAAATAATAATTTTGGCAATTCTGATTAATGTAAAACAAGAGATGTTTTATCTGATTTCACTTCAGAAAATCTGTTTATTGGGTGTATGTAAATATCTGATTTCAATTGCACATCCAATGAGGAATGAGACTATTTCATTAATAAAGAAATTGTTTTGCACTTATGTATCGATCCAAATGGTTGAGTGGTAGCAGCTTCAGAGGCCTGCTTCATGAACATTTAATTCATTTCCTTTCAGGAAGCTCTGATCAATGCAGAGGGAACCCCCACACACGAGAAGGCCCACAGAAACCACTCAGCCAGTCGGCTGTAATTTAACAGCATGTGCATGTGACAAGAGGCGGGACGATAATGTGACACAACGTGCTGCACAACAAAACGAGAGTGTGAAGTAATTAGCATCTTGTATTTTCTCCTCACCTTCTGATACTCTGAGTCCTCTGGTCTGAAGTCACTGCTCACCATTTGAAATTCCAGGTTAAAGTGAGGTAACCGGTGAAGCAGATTCACCCACCAAGGTGGAGAGTAGTTGACCACGGCCGCCATCCTGATGCAGCTGCCTGCAGACTGTGACTTCGCTCTGCAGCCTGGTTCTTCACCGGGACACTGCAGAACAATTCAGAGTTTACACAGCCGCAAAGCACAGTGGTTAGTCTCATTCTAAGAAATGCGTCTTATGTACATTTCGCTGCTAAAACAGTCTTCTGCAGAAATCCACATGCAACAATCAGGCATAAGATTATGACCATCTGCCTAGTAGTGTGTTAGTTCCCCTATTTGCTGCCAAAACAAGCGCTGCCCCTTCGCATAAACTCCTCTAGACACCTGAAGGTGTGCTGTGGTATTTGGCAAAAAGTTCTATAAGTTGTATGGTGGGGACAGCATGGATCAGAGCTGTTTGTCCAGCACATCCCACTGACAGTAAATCTGACTGAGATCTGGGAAATTTTGAGGCCAAAACTGTTGCTGTGCTCCTTAAAGCTTTGCTGAACAAAAGTTAAAGATGGAGAACATTTTGTGACAGAGAAACATTTTTCTGTTGAAACTGAGCACAACCATCAGAGAGCACATCTTCAATGAAACGGTGTGTGTGGTTTACAACAATGCTCAGGTATGTTGTACATATAAAGGGAGTCCTTCAAATGCTTCACTGTCCTTGGCCTGCTGGATGCCCAACACTGACAGTCAAACTGACATAATTGCTTGTTTTGTGATTAATTCAGCAAAATTAATATCTGCTCATTTGAATTAGAAAATTCTAATTTAAATTCCATGCAACTTGTTGCTGCTTGATAAATATAAAAACAAAAACAAAAGGAATAAATTCCACACTCTTCATTTTGACACATATAACTCATAGCCGGATAAAAGTCATTAATTTCCTCACTGGTTATGGTTAGACCCATGTGGTTTGTGATTTTTCTTAACACCAGCATACCTCGTGAGAGTCAGTGTGACGGAAGCTTAAATTCTACATTGATGTTGTGATGATAACATGTTGACAATGTTCAAACAGAACACTGAACATCTATAGTACCACACTGCTTTTTTGAGCTTTGCCGTCTTCTCATACTGCATAATAAGGCCACATGTTCCCCAAGTAAGCAACACACAAGTATCCAGTCATCCAGGACACAAAAGAAAATGTGACTCTGCAGAAAAGACCCCCTTCTTCCACAGCTAGGTCCAGTTCTGAGGCTCGCATGTACCTTACTGACTCTCTGGGCGGTGAGCAGAACAACTGGTTTACAGCCGTTAATAAACTGCAGTGCCTTGATACCACTGATGCTTTTCTATCAGAAGCAACATTAGCTTATTCAGGTATTTTAGCTACAAAATCTCAAAGCAACGTTCTTTCCATAGACCAGTTTTTAGAGATGCTCACCACTGCAGAACAGAAACACCCAACAAGAGTTGCAGCATTGGAGATGCTCTGACCCGCTTATTTACCCTTGTTCAATTTGTTGCACTTACCTATCTTTGCTATTTCTAACACATTCACTTTAAGGACAAAATGTTCACCATAATATTCCACCATAATCAGGGTTATTTATACCACACATCAGTGGTCATAATGTTATGCACGATTGGTGTATGATTACCTCATCACACAGGGGATATGGAAAAAGCATGCCAATATGAAGCATATTCTGACCAGATAACGTCAGTGTACTGTAACAGTAGCTGTTTCACTGTCAGGAAAAATGTTGAGTTTCGAGTTAGAGTCGCGTGCAACAATGAACCTGTGTGGATAAAATAATGCATTTTGACATTTTACTTGCATTCGATGAAAGCCACAAAAGTGATGATGAAATGGATGACTGTGGTGTATGCTGGGTTTCTGCCTGATATATTATGCAGCAACACTGTCTCAACGGAGGGAAATCTCTTTCTGATACGATGAAAATTATCTGTGAAGGTGGTAAATGTAAAGAAATGTACCACTGAAGGTATCTTAGAGACAACATTCTTGGGGAAATCTTATGTATGGTAAAATGATGGTTGGCGTTTCTCCCGCATCACCCAGTTTGCACCCGTGGTGCAAATCACAGGCTCCGTGGCATAAATCAGGAGAAATGGCCGTTAAACGCGGCCCGACGCACTTCCATATCAAGTACATTATAGCAAACACACGTAGGTCAGAGGAAATACTGTCATGAACACGATGAGAGGTTATTTATTGTCTCAGTCGATTAGACAAAAAAAAAAAAGAAAAAAAAGGTTGGAAACCCCGGATTAGCTGGCTTCATCCTGCTTTGTGATTATTAAAACTACTGCAATGACTGAGCCGTCAAAGCAAAGATGATGAAAAAAATGCAGCAAATAATGAATTTGCTGGCATGTCTGAGTGTGGGTGAATAGGAATACCACCTACCTAGTGAAGCACAAGCGGGCGCAGAATCTCGTTCAGCAGCTTATTTCTTCTTTCCGGGAGACCAGAGCGGCGTGTACCTCACCTTTTGTCTTCCTGATCCCGTGATGGTGGAGCTGGATGTGAAGACTACAAGCTGCTGCGGCATCAACGCGGCTGGACCGAGCTAGCTGCGACGAGCCAGTCGGCTACAGTCCCGACCGCATCGAAAAGAACACAAAAACCTGCACGCATTTCCCCCAAAAAAACACGACCGCTTCGACTGTTCTCCCCTGTGGCAGATTAGGGGTTAAACTATTTGACCCAAAAGCCTAGCTATGTGGTCATATATTTATTTATTTTACAGTTCGTCGATGCCGTAGCTGTCTTTGCTTCCACGACGAGGGTCGGTTAGGTACCTTTAGCGCTTATATTGTTGGAGCATGAAGCAAACACGGTCTGTAGAAATCCCCGGAGGATGGGGCTTTGCGGCAAGCTTTGCCACTCTGGATGTCTCTCCATGTGATGAGCAAATGCGCAAAAATGGCTCCCCCTGACGTTGAAAAGGTGGTAGTACAGGCTATGGAAAAGCCTGTACTAAGATAATGGGTAGATGGATGCTAAAAATATAGCTAAATGATTTAGAATTTGATCATAATTTCAGGAACTTTCACCACCAGGTAACATTAACACATTATGTATGATGGGTGATGGATGTTTGAAAGCTTTTATTTCTGTTAATTATGATTATTTTCTGCTCACAATTAATAAAAACATATTTAGAAAAAAATATATCAGACCAATACAAACAATTTCTAAAAACAGAATTAATGAAAAATATCTTCACTACCTCCTTAAAGTTGTTTTCAAACTGCACTTTTAATCTGACAAGACTGATTGGGAAGTACAGTGTAACTTATTAATTACTTATTGATTACTTATTCACCCTCTTGGATTTTTTACCCTTTTTATTGACTTTACAAACCAGTCATGATAAACAAAATGTGCGTTGTTTTTTTTTTACAAAACAACTGCAAACACCCTTTAATGTCAATATGACAATGGGTTTAGAATAAGTAAAATACCTTTGAACTGATTTCCACAGAATAATGACAATTCTTTAAAAAAATAAATATAAAACTATTTATTGCATAGATAAAAAAAAACATCTCTGTTTGCTTTAGCTGAGTCATTGTTTTGCTGGAAAAATAACTGTCCTACTGCCAAGAGGCGTTTCCACAGCATGATGCTGCTCCCACCATGCTTCACCGTAGTGGTGATGTATTTATGTTGATGTTCAACGTGCATCATTTTGTAGAAATCTGTTTTCATTTTAACATTAAAAAGTTTTTTGTAAATCTTTTTGTCAGAGAAGCCAAATGTTATGATGAATTTGTAAAAGCAATAACAATGGCAACACGTCAAAGAGGTGAATACTTTTTAGGCACTGGATTTTATGCCATACATAATACAGACTGAACTATGGTTCATCTATCTCCCTATAGACTCTCTAGTGTTCATGATGCTGTTAGATGCTTTAAGTATGTCACATTCTCTCTTTGGACTTCTGTTTCTGCTACCTGCTACTTTGTAAACACATTTCTTTAGATTATTGCTGAAGGTGTACAGAAGTGCTTTAAAATAACAACACAGTGATTTATAGTAGAAAATTAGAATTACCTTGACGACTGCTTATTGTTAGTTTATTCTAGCTGTCAATTTCCTCAAGTAAAACAAAACCACATTAGATTGAATTAATAAGGATTGAACAATTACTGGAAACCAAAAACAAGAAAACAAAAACTTTTAATTACCTTTTGAAGTGAAAAAAAAACAACTACAGAGCAGAGAAAAAATAATGTTACATAGAAACAAAAATACACCAAAATAATAATAATAAAAAAACATCTCAAAATCAAAATAAGAAACAATCTGAAACTACATTTATAAAAAAAGCATTTTATTGGATCAGGTTACACACCTACGAAGAACTTTGCACTTTGAACTTTTTTTGACAGCTTTACAAATGAATCTTTTTTTCAAGCATATGTTTATTTATCATCATAAACACACTGTGCCTCCTGCACTGCAATGACAGTTCAGTATTGCATCAGAGAGATCTAGAATTTATTTCCAGATTTGCTCTGCAGTGCATCAGATGGCGACAGGTTTCTCATCATTCCTCAAAGATCAACCATAATTTCAGAAGTGTTTTATAGCGTGAGGTCATGTTTATGGATTTCATATTAGGCGTACTGACACATGATCAGGCTAATTTACAGTAATGTGGGCTGCTGCTGTAAGATTAATGAGGATCCTTCATGCAGCAGCTTTTACAGCAGAGAAGACAAATCGTTTATAGTTTGGAGTATTGCTTAGATCAAAGCTACACAAAGAAAAACTAAAGAGCTATTTATAGCATTCCTGTCATAGTAAGTGATTATGTGCAACAAATTTCCATGTTGTACAAAGTTTAACTTCCAAGAGTATTCTGATTATTCGATGCGTAGAGTCTTCTAGGCAGCAAATATTGTGTAATTAATAATATTCTCTTCTAAAGTGTATTGATTCTTCAAGTAAGCGTATGACGGCTATCACTGATGCACATAACCCAAAGAGCTAACGCATTAGGACTTCTCTGTTTCTCAATGGACGTGACGGAGAGACAACAATTTCATCAGAATCGTCAGATTCAACTCCAGCATCCGCATCAACCTCTGCTGAGAAAAGAAGTTCCTGTTGAGCTGCAATGGAACAGACAAGGTTTTCAAAGTTCTATCCAACTGTTATTAATCATATGTTCATTCATGTGTGAATAAAACAGTGAAATGGAGGAAACTGACATCTTTTTTTCACCCTCTAACCTTGTGCTTGTTGTCTGCTGGAGACAGGATGATGGTCTTCTTCCTTTTCTGCATTTTTACTAAGAGATGCAGAACCTGACAAAGAAAATAATAATTGAAAAATAATCAGTTATTTCTAAACTGTCACAGTAAATCCTCAGAGAAGTGAGTAAAAACTGGATGTATTTTAAAAATAATTTTAGGCAAATACAAAAAAAAAAAAAAAAAACTGTACCATCCAATACAGAAGTGCTTGAGACATCAAGCACCTGGTGTTTGTAAAAATAGCAAGTATTTCTGATGAAAAAAAAAGAGAACAATGCATGTCCTCATAATGTGGCATTTATTATATACAGTAAGAAAAACTGCAACAACCTTGTTCACAAGTGTGTACACACTTTAATTCTTTGTGGAAGCACTGTTTTATATTTTGTTTTTCAGTCTATGAGGATGGCATGTCTTCACTTGCCCATTCTAGCCTGCAAAGTTAGCCAAATGTATAAGTTTGTGAGGACATCTCTTGTCCACAGCCCTTCGACTACAGACACTGTTCTGTTGCCGTTTCGTTAAGAGGATATTCTAGGTTGTCAATTTTTTTTGTATTTTATGCACAATTTCCATAGCACTCTCCAGAACATAGAATCCTTTTTTACCACCTTGTTTTGACTTTTAGTTTGCTGACTTGGTGCAGTCAGCCTCCCCAGAACAGACTGCACTGTTCACAACAGATTTCTTAATCTGCTGCATCTTCCTGCAAACACTGAAATACCTGAACTTCCTCAGGCATAGAAGTACAGTCTGATCTTGTTCACAGATTTACTGTCGCATGTCCAGAAAAGTCTGTAATACAGGTAAACTTAAGTATTTATTTTCATCTTATGAAAATATGGTAAATAAAGTTAAAATTAAGCTAAATTAAGAGTCTGTATGCTTAAGGAACCAAACTTGAGCTTAAGTGTGGATCAGTGTTTAATGTCCTGGGTCAGTGTGAAGTTGCATGTGAAAAGTCTTTTGAAAGAACTTGTAATCAAAGTTCTTTACATCACAGAAACCTGGCATATTAGATGGATCCTGTGGACACAAACCTTGGTGTTAAACCCTCAGTTTCTTCAAAACAAAACAAAACAAAATACTCCCTTTGCTGCAGATCTGCTCAGGCGGTGCTCTCTCAACTGAAGCCAATCGTGCATCAAATGCAGAGTCAGGCTAAATATGAACAAAATATCCTCAGCTCACTACTCTGCTTTGTGGAGTCATATTCTGATCATACCTCAGTGACTACATCTATGGGAACCAGGAGGTCCCTGAAGTCTCACAGGATCATTCTGGACCATCCAGCAGCCACAGATCTTTACAAATCATTAGCGGCTCACAGATCTGCTGAGTTCCGTCATCAGTCTTTATCTCAGGCTGTCTGGTTGGTGCAGGGTGAGAGCTGTCATGGATTTAGACATCACTACTCATAAAGGTGTCAGGGAAGTAATGAAGACCAGCTGGGAGGATCAGAACTGTGTTTTACAGCAGCATAAATCCAGACAGGCTCCTGACTCTGGTTCATGTTGGCTATAGGGATTTACTGTTGAATCTCCACATGATTATTAACCACAACACAAACTACGCTGAGCTGTGGGAGATTATTGCAACTGGAAAATTACTGAAAAATATAGTCATGGAAACAGATGTAATGATTGACAATGAAATTATAGAAAATCCTAAATAGGCCCAAATTATAGTATCTTTACAAACAAACAATTAAAAAGTTAAAAGCCTGGGATTTGACTTGGCCATTGCATCTCATTGATGTTCTTCATTTTCACCTACATTTTCTGCTGTCTGGGTAAATTGCCTGCTGAAGACCCAGTCTGGCCCACGATTCTGCTGTTAGATAAATACTGTTGGAGTCTATTAAGTATTTGATTATTTATTAGCTAAATAATAACTGTTATTGATCCAAAATGATATTAATGATTACAGATGGTAGATGAGCTATTGTTTTTTGTCATTTCTCTGTTTTTTCCTGCTAGTCAGGCCAGAAAACTGCAATCGGTGCATCCCTGACCTCTAGGTTAGGTGAGAACGCTCTGCTGAGCTCAGTGACAGAATGTCATTACATCCTGTGGCTATAAATTATGCCTCCACCACAGCTAGTTTGAGGGGTTTATGAGAGAATATGCTAGATATTATCGTCATCTTCACTTTCCTCTTGTCTGTCTCAAAGTACTGTTTTCTAGAAGGAAAGTGGTTCAATTAGATTTAGTGTTGGAAACTTTCCTAATAAACAGTTTGATAAATATTTTTCCTAAACTTTAACATGCTAACTGAAAAATGCAGAGTTTGAGGGGGAGATTTTTATTTTTTCTTGCAATTTCTCTCTGTTTTGTGTTGGTCTTCCTGACCTTGGGCTAATTTTCTGGTATGTACACTACTGGAAACATTACAACCTGCTTAAAATCGATCTCACTTGGACAAAATATTTTCTTGCTGAATGATGGATTTCAAAGTGTTTGAATGTCATTTATCAATCCTTTCAGGATAATGGCCAGGGACAATTGCGGCTAAGATATCTTTCTGGCTTGGCAATGCCAAAGGAAATGCCAGGTCTCTTGTGTTTATAAGGCGTCACGGTTGCTGCAGATCAAACACATTGCATTAGAATTGCTATCCCTCTAAAA